GTTCTTAACAAAAAACATGTTCTCCTAACTTTTACGAATTTCTTTTGACTTCTGGGAAAACTCTGTTTTATGTATCTGCAATATTGAATATGAACACCTTCCCCCTCCCGAAAATTTTAAAAGTAGCGGCGACGACATGTGAAGAAACCTCGTCGATTTCGTTGAAAATTGCATCTAAATCAGGGTGTCTACTCAATCCAAGGAATCAAATTCCCTGAGTTTTCCAGGTTTTTCCAGGTCGGATGAAAAAAATTCCAGGTGCATACAAATTATGGACATTATTATTTTATCGAACCCCCCTGTTTGCTGGTGTTCACACTGCTTGCACATGTCGAAAGAACTGTCAATTTAGATTTCAAAACAAAACTGTATCAGGAATCAAAGTAAATACTTCCATCATGAATTACCGGAAAATTGCTCTAGTTTCGGCAGACGTATTTGCTTTTATTATTTTAAATAAAATGAGAAAGAGAAGGTGAACTTTGTGGAGTAGGAAATGGTTGCACACCGGCAGGGATTTGGCTCATCTTGTCCATCAAGAGCTGCGATATGAAGTTGAAAATGAATTTCAAAACTTCGCCAGGATGTCGATACCAACTTTAGACAAGCTAGTGGGAAAAGTTCTCACTAGATATACATGATTCCTTGAGTTCTGAAAATTTCTGTTAACAACTCAATTCTGCAAGGTCTTCAAACCTTCTGACGTCCCTGAAGTTTTGTTTCTGTTCTCCGGTAAAATTTCTTTGAAGATAAACAATCTTTCCTGACAATCTGCAAATGTCTCGGTAGTTCTACAGATTTCTTTGAAGTTCTGTGTGTTCTTCAGAAGTTCAGCAAATAAAAACCTACAAAATTCCTGAATCTCTGAAGATTTAAGATCCTTGAAGATCAACAATAATCTCTGATGTTCAAAAAATTTCAAATAATCTACAAACTTCTCAAAAGTTCTGTAATTTTCTCTGCAGATTTTTATGATTCAATGAATATCTACAAATATCTCTGAACATCTATACAATTTTCTAAAGAATTAAAAGATTATCTAGAAATTTTTGAGCTTTCGGGAAGTTTTAGGAAGTATTCTGAAGATTTCCTAATTTTTCTGAAGCTTTGCAAATATCTCTAAAGATCAGCGAACTTACCTGAAGTTCTGTAAATGTCTTTCAAAATCCAAGAACCGCAGTAAAATTCTGAAAATTTATTTAAACATCTGCTAATTTTTGAGTAGATTTACGACTTACCCTTTGAACTTTTCTGAAGTTCCTAAAATTCATTTCAAATTCTGTAAAGTTTTCTGCTCTAAAGATCTACGAACTGCCCTGAAGTTCAATAAATTTTACAGTAGATCTCCGAACTTTTCTAAAGTTCTTTAAATTTCTTTGTGGATTCTTTATCTAAAGATCGGCGAACTTTCCCGAAGATCTGTGAGTTTTGCTGAAGTTTTGCAAATTTTTCTAAAAACGTACGAACTTTCTGACGTTATACAGACTTCTCTTAAGGTCTACGGACTTCTCTGAAGTTCTTTAGATGTATCTATTTCCGACTTCCATGGAGTTCTGCAAAATATTGTACTTTTGTACTTAGCTGCGATTTGTTTTTGGAATTGAGGTGCTTTTCTGACATTTAACGAATTTTTCTGAAGATCTCACATTTGTGTGAAACTGTGAAACTTTCTGTCGAATTCCTGCAAAAATCTTTAAAGTTCTGTAAAGTTGTCTTAAGCTACGTAGCTCTATTCCCAAGATCTACAAAAAAAACTTGAGGCTCAATAAATTTCTCAGTAGATCTGCAAACATCTCTGATGTTTTGTAAATTCCTTTAGGGTTACCCTGAAGATTTGAAAATTTCCTTGAAGATTACCTAAAGTTGTCAAAATTTATCTGAAAATATTTGAGCTTCTTTGAAGTTTTAAATGTCTCTCTCAAGATCTACAAATTTTCCTGAAATCGTGTAAATATTTTTTTTTAATCCCTGAAGTTCTGCAATTTTTACTGAACATCCATTAACATATCTGAGATTCTTGTGATTTTTTCTGAAGTCCTGTAATTTTTTTTCAAAGTTATGTAGCTTTGTTCTGATGATGTACGAACTTTTCTGATGTTGAATAATGTTTCGAGGATCTTCAAACTTCTGTGAAATACTTTATATTTCACTGTAGATTCTTGGACTTGTCTGAAGTTATGCGAATTTCCCTGAAGATTTGTAAAATTTCGCTTATAGTTTTACAAATTGATTTGAAATTATTTTTGCTGGCTTGAAGTTTTGAAAATTTCTTTGAACATTTATCTGAAGATCTACGACCTCTCTTGTGATTTTGTTTTTTATGAATTTCTGTTAATAACTTTTAATTTGTTTGTAGTTCTGTTTTCACGATCTACGAACTACCCTGAAGCTCAACAAATTTCTCAGTAGATCTCCAACCCTCTCTGAAGCTCAAAAAAAAATTCTATGTTGGGTCTCAGACCTGCTGTCTGGCATGCTTATTCTTATACAATACATGCTTCGTATGCTTCCTTTTGACGGTTGCCAGTCTCTCTTTTTCGGCTGTTTCCTTTTTACGACGATTTTGATCCTCCACATACAAATCAGCGAAGAGCGAGCGTGACAAGACTCTCTGAATGAACTTGTCTCGTTCACACACGTTGTCTTAGCTGTCAGATGCTTGTCAAGTTCAGTGTCCTTAAGAAACGTTTCGAGAAACTGAACGAAAAACTTCTTTTGAATTACGAATGAAGTGATAATTGGAAACTTCCCTGAGTGGAACCAACATTCCCTGAATATTCCAGGTTTTTCCAGAAAAAATAAAATTCCCTATAAATTTCCGGTTTTCCAGGTTTTTCCAGGTAGTAGACACCCTGCTAAATGCACCTAACATCCCTGGGCTAAATATAGGTAGGTATAATAGTAAGAATTTGTTGTGACATCTTATAAAATTCAGGAAGTAAATAATCGATTCCAATAAGTCACATGTAGGGTTGTCAGTACCGGACCATTTTTCCGACTACCTGAACTATTTATTTAAAGAAGTTAGGCATTGTGTAGTGTTTCACATCCATTCCTCGGTCACTGCTTCAAATTTGGTTTGTTACGAATAACCTAAAAGTGTTAAAGCGACTGTAATAAAGAAATCATTGATTTATTCAATCTACTAAATATCCTAGTGTCCCGAGTATTATTATAATATTTCAATTCCAAAATGCAAAGTATGTACATTCAACGCATCACGTTCGGGAAATAAATTTGTCGCGAAATTTCCAGACACATACAAATGCGCTCTCTAAAGTATGGTGACCCCTAGGACATCAACATCGCAGAATTCAGAAGCTCTATCTTTAACATACATATCGAGTTATAGAATCAAAAGAATGCCTTGTTCAGGCTGGAGAGTTATAACATGTTATAAGGGTTGTCAAATAATTGCAACACAGATACCACCATCAAGATAGCGCTATAACATGTTATAACTCTGTAGTCTGAACGTACTAAAACACTCCTTAGAACATCTATCAAAAGAGGCATCGACCAAAGGAGGCATCGATTTGTAGAAATATCGACACATGGAGAGTAGGGACCTCCCTAAGCTCAGTCGGTAAAGGCACAGCTACAAAGCAAGATCATGTTGAAGGTGGCTGGGTTCGATTTCCGGTCCGGTCTAGGAATTTTTTGGGTTGGAAAATTTCTCGACTTTCCTGGGCATAGAGTATGATTGTACTTACCACAAAATTATACTGATGCAAAAATGGTACAGGCATCGAAAGCTCTCAATTAATAACTGTGGAAGTGCATCTAGAACACTAAGTTGAGAGCACGTAATAAGCTAATATGCCATATGCAATAAGCTTTAAATACGAGGAAGAAGAAGAAGAAGAAGAGTACAATACATGGGAAAACTAAGGGACCGCAGAATACATCGAATTATAGAATATCGAGTTGTGGTGAGTTGATTGTATATCTAAGTTGTCTTGTCGAACCGTACTTCATGGTTTGAAAAGCATTGTGAAATACTCTCTTTTCAATTATTTAATTTCATAATATTCAAAGCCTGTTGGTTGGGTTTTCACGACATTTTATTCAAAAAATTAAATTATTACTCGTTGACAGTGCTACTAAAAATGCTGAAAAAATATAATAAGCATCGAATTTTGAAATTCACTTTATTATTTTTCCATTATTTTCTCATGCCAGGTGTTTCGGTATGTCGGTTCCAGAAAATCACCTGGTACTACCGGTATCAGTACTACCAATTCCACAACCCTAGTAACATGGGACTGCTATGCTTTTATGGGCAGTAATGTACATACATATTTTAGACAAATATTCCTAACAACTACAAGAATGACAACCACGCTTTAGATGATCCAACCTATCTGAAATTGACACACCAGCCGTTCAACGAAAACAGTAGGTAGTTTATAAGAAGTGGCGCCTTGTTCGCCTAAACCAGAATATTCTTGAACTAGGATGTAGATGTAGAGATGTAGACATTAGATTGCATTAGTCAAGCGTGCTGAAGAACACCAAAGGGTTAACGCTTAACCTTTGAGCTAACCTTTGCTCAAGCACGATTTTCGCAAACAGAAAAAAAACTAAAATAAATGCTAATCGAGTTTTCGTATCACCAAGATCAGCACTTCTCCGGGCTGCAGAGTTTTCTGCTTCTGTTCGAGAAATTTCGAATAAAAACTCCTAGCCATTCTACATTTCCATGATTGCACTGCTGCTGCTGCAGCAGCAGGAGCACACATAGCCATCGGACGGTCCTGGACGGCACAGACAGACGCGAGCGGGGATCATTGAACAGAAGATAACCTTTGCACGTTTTGTGTGCAGCTATAATATTCTGTACCTTCGTTCGTTCATCCCGATTTTATACCCCCAACCGCTCGGACTAGGATTCTCCCCAGAGTATGCATTGATTACGGCCGGTGTTTGCTCCCGTCGTCAAAGCCCCATGCACTTATTCTTGGGAACATTTATTTCTGCATGAAGAGAAATCAACTCACCTAGAAAATCGGAATCTAACGCCGGAGGAGCCGTTGTCGACGCTGGATGTCTCTTCACAATGGACAGCGTTGGTGCTGTTGCTGCTTCTGCTTCGTCAGGACTCACCGTTGATTCTTCATTCTTGTTTTGATTTTCATGATTAATCACACCATCACCACCAACATAGCCTTCTTCTTCTGGATGACTAGCACCACCACCAGCATGAGCACTGACCACGCTGCCGCCAGCTTTGGTCAGTGTGCTGGCACCAACACCTGCACTCGGTGATTTTTCAATGCCAACCGCGGTCGTTGGCTGCAGCGTCGCGGCGACAAGCAACACCAATCCCAACACTAGCATCATCGTTGCACTTTTCACACTAGACGACGACGACGATGGGCGGATTCTATTGCGCACTCTGCTTCCACCCGTCTTCGTCGATGTCATCGTCTTTGGCTGCTCTCTATGACAGCTATTTTTATTTACATTCACCGTCACACCGGCAGCTCTCGCGGGCACCTATGTCGTAATATTTTTCTCGCCCGTGCCGAACTGCGGAAAAGACATTCACACAACGCGTTTTTTTTTCAAGCACCGATTCTGCTGAATGAGTTTTTATTTATTTGCTCTCTGCTATTCCTTTCCTATCCAATCCCTTTTACGGGACACGTTCACTTTTATGATCGCTCGCTTCTCGGGGTTTCGTCTTCCCTGCTGCGCCTTCTTCTAGGTCATTTTTTCAACCCGCCGAAGCCACATTCTTGGAGCGAGCAAGAATCCATCGAGGACCAGTTCGCGCTTCAAAACAGCGATTTTTTTATTTATATTTACACCAACACATTGCGAATAATAACAACTTGATCAGAAGATACTCTGTCTGACTGACGATGGGTACACACGGTATAGGTATTTATCTTTTTGGTTTATTTATTTCTTCGTCGCTTGTTTATCTTCCTTTGCGATACCACACAGATTTCGATTCACTAATACATGTGTCGACAGAAGAAAGAAAACAAAAAAAAAACACTTTTGCTTCGTTGCCGGTTGTTTGCCTCGTCGTGGTTCTTCCTTGATGGATTTCTTCAGGTTCACCAGCGTTCTCCTTTTTGCGGCCAATAATAATCTGGATTTGGAGATCCGTTCGTGTCCGTTCACCGAACGTGGATACCTGAATTGAATGTATAAACTTGTGTTACTCGATTGATTTTGGGAAATGTGGCCTGAGATTGATTGTCAGCCATATCTAGGTGGATGTGGATTAACTGATATCATTTGCAAGCTACTAAGGCTACCTTTGAAGACGTTTCATACGTCGTAAAATTGTTAAAACAAATTATTGAAAGATCACGCAGAATAACCACTGCGCAATTTCATATCAATCGTAGCTAGAATAATAAGCCATCTTTTGTTCACTCGAAAACTTCATAAAGCAATAGTAACGTTGCCAGATGTCGGCGTTTAGAAGTAGTTGGCTAAAATGTGTCTTGTCCGATTTGAGAAAAAATGTAGGAATGCGGAAAAGACTTTCGTTTCCTTACTATCACAATTTATCGAGAAGGCGAAACCATTGACATAGAAAGTGAGGGTGCAGGGTAGACTGATGCAACATTTGAAATTTTCGCTCCACAGTGTTCAAACGGTTTCAAATCGGGTCCTGATTAGCCTCCAAAAATTTAAACTCATTTGATAAGAAACTGACTTGGCACAAACCATTTGAAATTTATATGGAAATTACTATGGGAAAACAAAACTTTTTGTTGATTGTCTTCTAGCCTTTTACATATTGTACTGTTAACAAATTCTATTACTATTCTTATTTCATTTTCATTTTGCAGCGTTTGGTGGGGCAATGGTTGCGCAAGTCAATCCAAAGCCGAGGATAAAGGACGGGTAATGGCTGAATAGTCTATGCGGACCACTTGAACGCCATGGGAAAAGGAAGGGATTGAAGAGGCCGGTTATTGGAGGGTTTTGAGGAAATGACACATAGTGATGCTAAATGTAAAGAAACCGAAAATCCATCTCCCACTGATTCATCCTTTCACATATATACCAAATTGATAGTTTAAAGCAATAATCAAAATAAACAGACAATACATGAAAAGGCTAGTTGCCTGTTGCTTTAAAGGCTAGTTGTCTCCCTAAGCGGACCCCCGCATCCTAACTCTTCTGTTAATCCACTTAATGCTACTGGGCTGTCTAAATTTTCTTATTTAAGTTCGTTTGATGATTATGATATCTCTAGTCTAATTTAATAAATAATTGAAATCTCTAATCTACCTACCATGCTTTATTAAGTACCTGCACTTGTGAATGTAATCTAAAATTTATCGTGTTTCAAGTTGTTTTTGACTTTGACCTATATTTAATATATATTAGTTCGTCCCAGGTGACACCTTCAAGTGACTAAAATGCTTCACTTTGAAATTAGTTTCCTAGCTGATTTTTAAATTATATAAGGTATATGCTCCAACTATACTCACACGTTTCCACTATGTCGCACCACAAAAATACGTATGGTTATGTCACAATAGAAGCACGCCACAGTGGAAATCCCGAGCCATAGTTCAAACACTTATCCCAAATCAAAATGAAGCACATATAAGATTAGTTGCAATACCATGTACAAAAATGGTGTTTAACATTGTTCCCTGAGTAATACCTCAATGAAAACAACAACGAAAGTTTGTCACGCAAGTAGAAGGAGCACTGTTGGGCACTTTCTGAAATATTTCAATAGTATAATTCCCTTGCAAACCCAAATAAATCTATCTGCGTAAAAATAAATAAAATAAGAGTGATTTGTGGCAAAACCCGTCAGTATCGCACCCAACGTCAGTGCCTATACGTAAGCGTACTACGACGCGGCTCTCAATTAAAGGAGTAACAAGTGTGATACTATCACTTCAGGCTAGAACTTTGGTTCTCTTATGCAATGGTTCATCAGAGAGGGGAAGCTCAGTAATCCTCATCGCATGCTCATGACGCTATTCTGTCACGGCATGAGCCAATGATGCCGGACCTAAACCAACCGTCTCCAACGCTCCACTATGAAGCATAAGATTAGGTCCGCCCACCAACGTCCAGGTTAAAAACTAGCCAAGGAGAGGGACAAATTCTATTACTATTCTTATGGGAACTTTTATCAGCTACAACTTTGCAGAAAATCGTTTTTCAGCCAAACGTCAAATTAAATAGTTATAAATTGTTTAAGAGATTGATAATCTGGCAAGATGAAGCAACTGTATTGTGGGCAACACTGTATTCTGCAGTGTGACATAGTAGCCATGGTTTTTGTCCTCTATTCTACGCGCCATAAACACCAATGTTTCCTGCTGATGATTGAGCATAATCATAAAACATCAGTGACTTGAATCATTGATAACTTGTGTTCCTTACATTTGATCGAAAACTGGTCTTGAACAAAGTTGTAGCTGTGAAAATTTTCAAGAAGCTATCATTTTCTAAAGTAGAGTGAACTGGTGAATTTTGAGATACATATGAATCGAAATTATGGTTTTTCCATAGTAATTCCCATATAAACTTCAAATGGTTTGTGCCAAGTCAGTTTCTTACGAAATGACTTCAAATTTTGGGAGGCTAATCAGGGCCTAATTTGGAACCGTTTGAGCACTGTGGAGCGAAAATTTCAAATTTTGCATCAGTCTAGTCCAGGGGCACCCTCTTGAGTATGGTATGCACCTTCTGATAATATGCCTGATTTTTATATTTTTTCGTGCTGTTGATTTGTAGCTAACAGTCTCCCATGGGCGGAATCAGAGATGGGCAGACAAAGACGAATGTATTTTCAGAATTTCAAAATTTTCTGCAATTTTAAAAATTGGCTCATCTAGGTTTTCCAGAACTGTAAAAAAGTAAAGGAAATGGAAAATATTTTAAAATTTTGTAGTTTAAAAAAATGTGGTCCAGGCAGGGGGATCAACGTAGCCCTAAAAATCCGCATCCACATCCGTATCAACGAAACAAAATTCTCATAAAAAAGTATCCCTGCTAGATATTCCATATGGGCCCAAATTAGGGGCATTCAGGCCGACATTACATCCATTTCCTCTACTTGGACTGGAAATTGGGATTTTTTATGAAATCTGGGACCAAAAGAAATACACCAGATGCCGGGAATTGAAAAATTTCTTAGATCCTGAATTTATTTTATCCTTGATTTGTTTTCCGTTGATCTTGTTTTCCGTACTGAGTATCAATTCTACCAAACCGACGCCAGGAAGCCAGCTCCCATACCTGGACCCTACCAATCGGCCCATCAACTCATGGACCGGGGACCAACGGTTTTACTTCCCTTCCGAAGGAAGACGTGATCAGAGATTTTAAGCCTCAGAAATTCCCGACGGCGCCGACTGGGATTGAACCCAAACCCTTTGAAATGATAGGTAGTCACGCTTACCACTTCACCACCGGCGCCGCTAGATCCTTAGTGTGAACAGACATATTATGTTGTTTACGTTATTTCCTAGTTAATTATGGACACAGTTTCTAAGTAGAAGAATTCAAAGGTTGTCAACCCTAATAAAAATTGTATGGTTAATTTGCTTAACGACGTGTTCTGGATATCATCCAAACCATTTGTGGAATAGTTCAATGATTTGGGTTATCGTTCGTTTATGGTTATTTTTTATTAGGGAAGTGATAATGTGGGAATTTTGAGGGAATATCCTGGAAAAAATCCATCAAAAATATGTGATATCAATTCCAAGATAATTCTGAGGCGAACTACGAGGTAATTCTGAGGAAAATTGCTTGGGAATTCAGAGGTTTTTTCCCCTCTGTTCGGGAGATAACATTAATTTGATCTATTGTAGTATATCCCATTTCCTTAGTTTAGTGCATGTCGTATTACTATGGAGAAATGATGAAGTATTCGATTTTTTTTACAGTTGACATTCTTGCATTTATTGCAAGGATCCGACTCTAATTGAAAGGTCCCGCTATTTAAACTTTTCGGAGTGTTGAAACACCCTCCAAAGGCGCGCCCCTTTTTCAGTCAAAATTGGATTCCTTAGCAACAAAATTAAACAACGACACCCATAATGACCATGCATCAGAACCCTAGTCTTGAATTCAGAGGTTAATTCCAAGGGAGCTCTTATTTGAATTCCAAGGCGATTCGGAGAAGAATTTTATCGGAATTGTGAGTGAATTCCAGCTCTGAATAAAACTCTATAACATTCCAAGTTTGTGAGGAGAATTTTACAAGGATTGTGAAAGGAATTAATTCCAGGTGAATTCCAAGGATAAATTCAAGAGAATTTTGAAAACAACTTAAAGGGAAGTCACAGGATAACTTTTATGGAATAGTGAGGAGAATTCTATGTGAATCTAATCGAACCCCGATTAGCAATTTCTCGCTTTTTTCCCGCTTTTTCAAAAAAGACAGAAATCTCGTGTTGCCAAAACCGGGAAGGATCCGCATTATACCCTAGGGGCATACATTTATCGAGATCTCCTCCATATTCATGGTGACCAGCAAATCACAATTAGATTTTTGTTTTTCGTTTTTCTCCCGGATTTTGAAAATTTTCGCGTTTTATGTATTTTAATTAAGCATAAAACTGAATGCGATTAAGCCAAAGGATTAATGCGTAATTTTCAAGACAGAAGCACCTTTGCTGGATCTTGAATTTGGTTCTGCGACAGGTTTGAAGGCTCCAAAATTTGTGTATGAAAATTTCTCTCAAAACTTTACAGGCTTATATTTATTGTTCTCAAGCTCTTCCTTTAGATTAATTTCCTGTCACGGAGATCTTTCCAGAATTCTTCTAAAATAAACTTAAAATTCTCTCTGGAAATCCCTTGATTTTTTTTACAACAGTGTAGAGATTATCCGTAGAACACTGGTGCTTCATTTTGCATTAAACTCTCCGTAGAATTTCCATGCAATTCACCTCAGATTCTCGACCGACCTAAGGGGCTACTAGCTTTTATGAACAAAACTTGTAATCCCCCTTCTCTGCTAACACCAGGGGAAATTCTCCCGCCGAGAATTGTCTTCAAATTTTGTTCAGAATTATTTTGTCCTATAAATCTTTCTGGAAATTGCATGGAATTATCATTAACATTCTCTAGAAATTCCATTCAAACTGCGCTTGGAATTGTAGTCGGAAAGATCTTTGCAGAATTATTTGCGAATTGTAC